TTTTCATCCTAGCCTCGTTTGAGTGCCGTACATACTCTCTGTATGTTGTCCAACAGATAAGTACTTGTCCATTTCTTCGACAGATCTGAATGTCCTAGCACATGCTGGTTCTGGGCATTCCAACACTAGCCCCAATTCACTGCTGCTTTGTGCTTCACCACTGTTATGCGCGCTTCCATGCGTTACTCTCGGAGTGAAGCCAAAATTCTCCTTTTCTGTTATAAGATCGGTGGCGCTTTGTTGCTTAATGTAAATTTCATCCCACGAAATGAGTTTGCCAGGGCCAACTTGGAATGCCTTCCACACTCTGAGACCGTCTCGTTGATATGAAAAGTCGTGCATGGCACTAAAGTGCTGGAGTTTCTTGATATCTAAACCTTTCTTGGTTTCATTTACGCGGCATACAGCTTCGATACAGCCTTGAACTGGCCTTTCTTTGAGCGCCGTGTGCATATCACTAGCAGTGAGAACGTCGTGGCCCTCGTTGCAGTATCTCCTTATAGCGCCTTTCAAGGGCCATAGGATCCTGTCACATACGTCTTTTCCAGACTGTGGTTCAGAAAAGTCGTATCTCTGAAGTGACACACCTACACGCTCTCCAACATCACGGGCGGCAACAATAAGCTGGCTATTGTGGTAACAGCCGGCCTCATCTGATTTTAGATAAGCCTTCTTTACCTTTGGATTTGAGGAGCGAACGGTGATTAGGAGACTCTCCAAGATGGACAGGACAGAGAACCAATCCTGTGAATAGCTGTTGAATAGGTGGTTGTAGAAGGAAACGAAAAAAATTCCCCTTTCCATCACTCGTCATAGCACAGCTAACGTGCCAGTTCATTCCCCTCTTAGCATACCAATCGCCAATCAACCGCTGTAAGAACTTCATTGCCCAATTTATCACTATAAACACTGAATCGTCTGTCAGGTTTTGTATGAAGCTTTGTTTTGCGATCTCTTGGTTTTCACATCGGAGAATTAGGCATTTCCATTCGTTGATGAAGTTGAGGGACTTTCCAAAGTCATACAGAAGATTATCATGTTGTTCTTTGGAGTACATCGAAGAGGAAAGCTCATTGATTTTTTCCTCCACAGATTGAAGAACAGTCTTCAGTTCCTCGCAACTGTCACACTTTGATAAATGGTCGTGCAAGCACTGTTGTTTGAAGTCTTCATCAACGGGATCACTAAGAGCGAACTTCCTGCAGTGATCTGCGCAACGGCTGTCTTCTTCGTCGCGACAATGAATTTTAGGTAGCACTTCGCCTTCTTTAGGCAGTTCCTAACATCTCAACACCTATCCTTGCTCACTCCGTACTCTTCTTCGAGTTCTTCAACAATTCGGGTGATTCTTTGTACCTTCGGCACCGTCAGCGGATACATTGTCCAGTCCTTGCCAAGACTTACGCTGAGACGCTTCCCTCACGTTAAGGACGCGGTACATCGTTGCACGACTTAGTGGTTGAAGGCCGTCGTCTTCACAAAATGCCAAATACTGCGCAAAAATTGTAGACCTAGTGACGGTACGGATGACGTTAGGCATCGCTAAACGCTCGCCACTCTCTAGTTTGAGGGACCGTTGACCATAAGCAACATTTTGGTAGAAATAAGGTCGGTCAACGAAGGTGAGAAAGTCATCTAGTGTCACTATGTCTATGCGCAGACGATGACTAATGGCTTTCTTTAATAGCACTCCTGGACCATTAATCTTCGCTTGATGTCTCGCTTTCTTTATCTGCCGATCACTTAGCTTCTTAAAAGGCTCGTGAAGTTTCTTTAGCTCCTCAGTCGAGTAATTCATAACATACAGGATGAGAATTTCAATTTTTAGATTCTTTGTCGGTTAAGTATGTCGTGTGAACTCTGTTTCTCTGTTGCCGTTACCAGGGCCTCGTAGAGCTTATCCGGATCATTTGAAGCGATTACACCGCATACCAACCGACAAGACATCTCGGCTGTTTTGAAGCAATTTTCTTTCTCATTAGACGTTGCAACTTCCCAACGTTTCGTTAACGGGGCCTTCAGTGGCTGGAATTTTCCGTGGGATATTTTCTCCATGGTTTTGTTGAACATTTTGAAGTTTTCGTGCTGAGATTCGGAGCAAACCCTCTCCGCTGACCATTGACCCGGGGTCCACGACAAATCCCGAAGTTTATGAGGTGTGTCCCGAATGTCATGAAAACAACCACTGGGAAAATGCATGGCACACAAGCGTTCTCTGTTAAAAACAATACAGGTGTGGTTAGACAACAACGGTGTTGAAGGAGGCTCGGAAGGGTTTTACGTTACCGTATGTTTGTGAAACGACGAAAGGTTACAAGAAAAAAGCTTTGATCGTGTGGGCAAACTATAAAAATCTTTGCAACTCTATTATTGGGCAATACTTTAAGGGTACTTGTGACGTCATGTCGGTTACCATGGCAACACGTAAGATCAACAAACAGACACTCAAAATTTCAGTTTTTGTAAATTATCTGAAAAACTAAGTCGGTGACCTACCATGTTTATTTCTTTGTTGGAAAGCTCCCGAAATTCTTTAACTTCTTAGACAGCATGACAAAAAGTTATCCAGCAGATTTTAAGATACAGCGAAAAAAGGCATTTTGTGGCTTACAGAAAATTGTGCTGGATAGCTTTCCCCGAAACTTTTCTGTTCGAAATGCCATCATGAATGATGCGTGCAAACCAAAAAATAAGATAGGTCCCGGGACAAAATACAAATGTTTTCCGCAGGTTTTATTTCTGGTTCGTGCGATTTTACGACGTATTGGAGTCCTTTAGATTCGAGGACGAGGACGACTACGAGTAGGAGATTTGACTTGAAGTGTTTTCGCGTCTCCTTAAAATGTAGACTTCCCGGAAAGCTTCATTTTACCATTTTTCACTTTAAAAAAATAGCATTGCTATCTTTAGTGAAGGAGCGTACGCGCTCTCCCGATTGCAAAATGATAAAACTTTTAAAATTTGATATCTTGTTTTCGCCACCACGACATTCGCGCGAAAACTCGTAGTAGAATGACGACGACTACCACGTTTTCCTGCCAAAATGACGCTGGCTCACGCGCGTACGCTACTTAGTATTGAAAAAATCTCGTACTCGTAGTCGTACTCGTCTTAGAATCTAAAGGTCTCTATTTTCCCTTTCGTGGTGTTGCACGAGCAACAGTTATGGCGCGTGCAGGTTTTTTCTATCAACACACCGGAAGTGAAAATAAGTCGTAAAATCGCACAAACCTTAGAATGAGTGTAGACAACTTTGACTTCTGGCGAGATGAAGTGAATGGTTCAAATGACCCCCTGAGATTTTTTTCAGGGCTATAACTAAGACTTGTTTATAACTATGATAATCGTCATTATTAGCGGACGGTGCTTTTTACCCATTGTTGTCATCATCATCGTTATTACGCCCGGCACGTTGCCTTACCAAACTACCTAGAAAGTTTTTCTCAGTCACTTTTGCTCCCCTTGGGTCCTGGAAACTGTAACTATTAAGACGATCAACAAGAAAGCCTTAATAATTACTGAAAATTTTGATTAAGGTGGCTCGACTGGGTTTTTTTTGAGGGGATACCTCCCAAGTTTGAGCATTAACTACTTCGCCATGAGTAAAGATATGGGAAAAAGATTACCACAACTGTATTATATAAAGATGAAAATTTCTTATGATCTGGGTTTTATTGCAATCGGAGTCACCATGGCAACGTAACAACGCCATTACGTTTTTTACTTATCTTTGTGTTTCTCTGTACCGGGAGGATTTTTAAGAAATCGCTTAAGGGAGTTTTTACCTTCAATTATGGCAAAGTTTGAACAAATTTTATGAGAGCGTTTTCGAAATATTTTGAAACGAAGTTTTAAGTATCATAAAAACGGTGAATTAGTGTGCTATCCACACAATTAGCTAATTTTTTAAGAAAATGATAAGCTTTGGAAACGCGGCTTCATCTTATAGTGGTTTGATTCCATTGAAAACTGCGTACAAGAAGAGAAGGGGAATTGCTCTGGGCGATCGCGAGTAAGAAGAATTTTATTAACTTGCATTCAGCTGCTTTTGTTACAGTTTTTGCACGTAATTTGGTCCATGCCTACAATTTTCGCATTTTTCAAAAAACCGCTCGATAAATGTTTTTATAAATTTGACAGTCCCGAGATCAATTGCCAATAAATATACCCTGCAAGTTTTAAGAACATTGAAAACAGGGAAGGCTTTTAAATAGGGCCTCAAATATAACCAATTTCCCCCCCCAGGTTTTGTGTTTACAAGCGAGCATCCTCATTATTCACTGGCATAGTTTCCAAGTTTCATATGCACGTGCACGAGCGGTTTTTTGAAAAATGCGAAATTTGTAGGTATGGACCAATTCCGGAGCAATTCTCTTCTTTTTTTTGTACGCAGTTTTCAATGGAATCAAACCACTATGACATGAAGCCGCGCTTCCCCAGCTCATCATTTTCTTGAAAATTTAGCTAATTGTGTGGATAGCATGCTATTTCACTGTTTTTATGATACTTAAAACTTCGTTTCAAAAATATCTCTCAAAAACGCTCTCATAGAATTTGTTCAAACTTTGCCATAATTGAGGCAATTATGGCAGGTACAAACTCCCTTAAGCGATTTCTTAAAAAAAACTCCTGGTACAGAAAAACACAAAGATAAATAAAAGACCTAATGGCGTCGTTACGTTGCTATGGCGACTCCGATTGCAATAAAACCCAGATCATAAGAAATTTTCATCTTTATATAATACAGTTGTGGTAACCTTTTTTTCCATATCTTTACTCATGGCGACGTAGTTAATGCTCAAACTTGGGAGGTATCCCCCCAAAAAAATCCAGTCGAGCCACCTTAACAGAATGTAAAGAAAAAATCGGTGGGAAGAGTACGTAATTCGCGTATCTTATAATCTGAACCATAGGTGTCAATACAACAAATACCACTTAATTCAATTTACCTTAGTTGTCTCTTGTCTAAAAGTGGCGTTTCTGGGGACCGTAGGTTCTTCTCTGATTCTTCTTGTCTCAGCCAAGACTCACTATCATCAACTTTCTTCTTGTGCTTCTTACAGCATGGGACACAAAGAGCTGAGATAAGCGATTACAAATTTCTCAGTTAAAGTGAAGCCCAGCAGCATCCATCAGGAATTGAAAACCGACATGCACTGTTTACTTTTCTTATTCTTAATCAAATAAGGGGTGTTTTGGTCTGCAAATTTAATTATACTAGTCAATGAGAATCATACAAACTGAAGAAAACAGACCGCAAATAATTGTGAACCGTACTCATGAATAAGTGTATTGCGTTGTCAGGTGATTTGATCTTCTACAAAAACATTATTAATTATCAACCAAACAACATTGTACATATTTCCATCTGCAATTAAAAGCACTTACACATAGATCTATATTTTTTCAACGTGATGTGTACTTAGGTAACCTTAATCTAATAAAGAGTTTCTTCTCTTTTCGAGCAGATATTTCACGAGACAAAAATATATAACAGAAAATGTTACCGAAGACTACCTGATCTAACTGGAATAATAACTCCAAACAGCTTTTGAATGTCCTGAGACATATGCAAGGTAATAACATCTCTGCCTTGGATACGCTTCCTGACACCAGCATAACCAGGATACTGACATGTTACCTTTGCACTTCTCCAAAACATCCCCAACGTATGGCGGTGCCTATAGAAAATCAACATTTTTTGTTTATCCTCCTGAGCGAGGGGAAATAGGCCAGTCCTTGCCAAGATTAGCTGGTTTTCAGGACCTCTTTAGACAGGTGGAAACTTATCAGATCATGTTTTACTTTATCATTGCATTCAGACAGCCGTACCAAACCACTTAAGCCACGCGATGAACCACAGTTTTTTCCATCTTTGCTATTCAAAAAGCAGTCCTGAGACATAATAAACGTCTCGCTAACGAACGACTTCTTCCTGTTCTTGTAATTGTTTCCAACGCGGTACAAGTTCGAGAGAAGTTAACCTGAGATCAGGCTCTATTTTCGTTTCGCTTTGAAAATTACATTCCGGCGGGCAAGGCGAAACGAAAAGAGAGCCTGATACAAACCTTTAAAGAAATGTCTGCCGCTCACTTTTTTGATTGATTGACATTTGCCGAATCAGCCAATCAGAATTGCTTCCGTTGCTTGTTTTTCTAGTATGCAAATTTTTCACGCGTGGGAAAAATGCAGACTGGCTGACTTAAAAAATAGCTTTTATCTGTTAATCAAAATGCACCTTGTTAGCGGTCAACAACTTGCAGAGGGATTCAACTCCGCGCTGCACTCACTTTCCGTAAATAAAGCAAATCCTGAGAAGATATGAACAACCACATGAATGTTCTGAATTTCCATGGCACATATTAAGGCATAGTTTCTAACCATAAGACCATAAAACAATAAAAAAGACAGCAAAATCGATCCTTCTCTCCACCGACGACGGATCATTCACGAAAACAACCACGCGGAACCACGCGAGGAATAAGCGCTTTCAACTTCCGGCGTTTCCGACAGCCAATCAGATCTTGTGGCATTGTTCTAACAGCCAATCAGCGTTACGGCCAAAATCTGGCCGTAACGACCACAAACTTGTAATAGTTTGTATCAGGTCCAATTTCAGCGGTAGCCGTTAGAGAGAATGTATGAGAACCGCTCAAACTGGGCCTGATCTCAGGTTAGAGAGAAGTAAAAGAACTCACTGTAACTTTGTATACTCGATACGATTTCCGCGCCGCAGATAAGCCTACTGTACTTCGTGAGTGGTCAGTGGTTACGCTCGTGAGGTAAAGAATGGGTTTGTGACTATTTCACTCAATTGACAAGAATCGCGTCTCTCTTATGAAATGGTTGAACGGAATACAGACTGCGAGCACTCTCTTATTTTTCTTAAAGATAGTGAGGTCACGAGTATCCTGTGAGCATGGAGAAGCCGGGAGACGCGAGACTCGTGTCTCGCGTCTTTGCCGCTCCACGCTCTTGGGGTTGGGCAAAGACAAGACACGTTTCTACTGATGCCATACAAGAGGTGTAATGGTTATCTCGATTATCTAAACACATCTATTAACATGGTAAAGATTTGTTTATAAATCTATGAATTGATGCCAGTCCTTTTTGGAACGAAATGTATTTGAAAGAAAAAAAAAACTAAGCATAAAAAAAAGTTGTCTGCAAGACGAAGCATGCCTTCGCATTAAGCCTGAGAGTCCTAAAGCTTATTATGATACTTTGATACATATGTTCGAATGTTCCCAAAAATCCTCTGACAATCTGCCCGCACCCAACCTACACCCCGCCGCTCGCCACTGAGCAGTACTGTTTTTCACTCACCGGCTGGTCAGCGGTCACGTTTATGAGGTAAACATCGCTTCCTGATCACCGTTCTTTTCGATAAGAAAAACAAAATACCAGCGTGATGTTGCCTCGAAGTTGAAGCAGTTATGTTATTTGATTCGTAGTTCACATTCGAGTCGAAGCTTGGGTGGCACAGGTTATTTCTTACGGTGGAATCGACGAGGGGAATTCGAACACTAGTTGCATATAGTGTTTGAATTGCTGGAAGGAAATGGTCGCATAGGGATGTAGGAATGGTAAGTTTAACGAACAATTTCAAATTTTGCCGCTTGAATTGAAAGTGAGGTTCATTTGAGTGCTTTCGTATGTATTTCTGACGGTTTTAGATCTAACAGCTCGATTTATATCTGTTACACTTCATGTTGACAACTCCCTCAAAATGGCGGCCAAACTTGGAGATTGCCGAAAATTAGGTAAGTTCACGGAGTTATAAAGTTTTAGTAAAAGTCGGGCCGCGACGTTTTTTCTGTAGTTACCTTTTCTATGGAAATTTTCCGGTGGAACGCCGGATAAACGTGTGTTCCATTTATATTCCCAACCGAAATTTCCGAAATCTCTACAAGATGGAAAGCGCCTGACTACTTTACTCGTGCATCACAGTTGAACATTTTTTGACATTACTTCACGACGAAGACATGAAATTTGCTTTTGCGACTTTTCAGGATGGACATGAACCTCTCAAATTTATCGCCTTTGAAAAATCGGGAAAAAAAAAGAACGTTACTTTACTTTTTGGTGAGGTTTTCGTTGATGTCGCCCTCGTTGTTACTGAAGTTTCCCGTTATTTTCAACCAGGAGCTCCAGTGTTTCAACTCAAATGACGTCGCCCTCGCAAGCTAGTCCCAAGTTATGATATTAATTTTTCGTCCATTTTTTTATTTTCTATCATAACGAAATGGCGACTAACTTGACCGTAATATTTTCAAGATACTGTTTTACTAGGAGTCTGTATCTTTTTGCAAGTTGTTTTATATTTTTTACTCCTAAGAATATTTGATTTTTAAATAAATGTTTAATTTTAAACTTGTCTCCTTTTATTTCGAACCCTATTCACTACATGGATCGTCAATTTGGTTGAGTAAGTTATTGTATAATTATTATACACCTTATCACAATAATGTTGTCACAGAAAAATGAAAACAAGAGAATAGAAAAAAAAACCTGAACAGGACTAAATTCGGTGCACACATTCCATCCAGGGAGCTGGTCTTACAAAAGGATGAGAGTCAGTACGTCTTTACAGTAGCCAATTGAACTTTTCTAAAATGACTGCAAAAGTATTTCCAGGATTATCAAAATGCAATTTTTTCACGGCCCTGGCTTCCTTTTCTTTTTGCTTTTTTCGATGATTAGGTAATTGTAAATAGGTTTTTGTGGGTCTTTTTTGACAAGGTATTCACGGGCTCAAATAAAGCTCGAGCCACACCCACATGGGTCTTCTTTAGTGGTCTCTTTTAAAATTGGTCCAATAACGCCCCCATAAACCTGCGAACACAGACGTCCCTCTTCTCTCCTCGCCGGAACGGACGTCTCTTCCGGCGAGGAGCGAGGATAAAAAGCTGCGGGTATTTGCAGGCTAAGCCCCCTTTTGACCAATAAGACTTACATTTGTTGCTCTTGTTATTGCCTAATCAAAACACAACTTTCATAACTTTTTTTCATAAAACGACTGCTGCTACTGCTGCTGCCGGACTTCCGCTGGTTTCACCTCTTGCGCAGAGTCAAAGTGAGTTGTATCACGTCAGTTGATGGTATTATACTCTGGTTATTGATCTGATTGGTCAATTACGTCGCGATGTTATTGGTCGTCTGTCAGTTAAGCCGGATGTTATTGGCTGTGAAGACTCGTAATCAGTAACTGGTGCGTTTCGATCCGTCTATTGTCACAGTTAAACAGTCGTCTATTGCTAGTCAAATTGTCATTTCTCCAGTCGTTCTCTCGTAGTTAGTTTTGCTTGATGTCGTCAATAAGTCGTTTGCACGGCTCTGGTAACTGTTGGCTACCGAATTCAGTGGCGTTTGTTCTAAGTTAGTAAACCAGCTTTCTAAACTAAGACGTTGATAGTAGTCTGTAGAATACGTTATACATCCAATAACAACGCGACGTAATCGACCAATCAGGTCAATAACCAGAGTATAATACCATCAACTGACGTGATACAACTCACATGGACCCCGAAGATGACTACCGCACAGGTTGTCGAAACATCAGTCACTGTCAACAACCGTCCTATTCAGGTCTACATTCACCCGGACGATCAAACTCAACCTACTTTTGACATGGATTAAAGCTAACAAACTTAGCCTAAATGTCGCTAAAACTGAATTCATGATCACTGGCTCTCGTAGGAGGCTGCAAACCCAAGCTGAGGTTTCCATCCAAGCACATAGCGAGGGAAGGAAATCAAAAGAGTCCAAGATATTGATAACATTTCGAAGAAAACCTTCTCAGGAATTAGCGCTTTGAAACGTGTAAGACCATTCATAAACACACACTCAGCTACAAAATCTATCAGGCCTTAACTGAACCTGACTTTATGTACTGCTGTAGTGTCTGGGATGGTCTCAGCCAAACTTTGAACAATAAACTACAAAAGGTACAAAAGCCCGCTGCAAGGATAATTACCAAATCAGGTATGATGCTTGTGCGGGTCCACTTTTGAACATGCGTGGATGAGATAAGGTTTCGATTAGCCGAGCAAAACAAAAGGCAGTTGTCATGTACAAAACGCTTAACAAGGAAATACCCCCCTACATGCAAGATATGTTAACTGTTCGTGACTTTTACTACAAAATCCGTCGCTCTGAGGATCTTACATTTACCCAAACCAAGGACTGACCATCTTAAGAGAAGTTTTGGGTCTTCAATCAGGGGCTGTCCTTTGGAACAGACTGCCATCCGGACTACGTAAGCCGTTCTGCCTTACAAGGTTTAAAAGGGGGATTATAATCATTGACAGGCGCCCACACAGCAATCACATAAACCAGAATTTTAGATTTTAATTATCGCTTTATATTGATGTTTTAACCGTGTCTAAATTAAGTATGTCTAAGTGTATTTTAATATGTACTTGTCTACCAGAGAGTATTAAAGTATTGTAAGCAAAGATGCATCTGTCATTCTGTCATGGACTTTAATTTCCCCAGCCGTGATATTGTTTTCTCCGTGGTCTCATGTTCTTCACCTAAAACCTTTTTCTGGATTTCAATGGCTTCTTCAAGCTGCTTAATAGCTTTAATGATCAAGCTGTCGCTAAGGTCAACATGGGACCGTGCGGTATCGTGATGTTCTCCCAGCAACTTGATTCGCAATTCCAGAGCCTCTCTGCTGTACTTTTCAGCTTGATCAGCCTTTCCAGAATCGACAGATTCAGATTTCGCAAGGCACCGGTATGAACCGGCTATGTATCGCAGGATCGAGGCTGTCCAAGGGTGGTCACCAAGCACATCTTTATACACTGGTAAAGTTTCTGTGTTCCAGATGTTGATTGCTTGTTCATGATTCCCGGACGCTCTATGAGCATCTAAAAGAAGGAAAAAAAGATAGGGTCAATTTTAATGGTATCAAAACTAATTTAGACTCGTCGATTCTCCTAAAGGGGCTTCCATCGAGTAGAAAAATAATCATGAATATAATTTATTATTTATGCAAAATATTTCGCATTCTCTGATTGGCTCCAATTCCCAGGTCAATTCGTCATAACCAACCGGCGCTGACCAAATTTGGAACATGCAAGCAATATACTATTGATTCGATAGAAACGAGGTTGATCGATGGTATATTTGATTGGAAACGAAGCTTGTTGGGCAATAGACCATCGATCAACGTCGTTTCCAGGCGCGGCAGCCTAGCTGTGTATTCACGAGTGAACTAAAACAAATGCAGTTCACGACTATCCGAAGACCAAATATAGCTAAACGTTTGACTAAAACTGAGTGGATGTTATCTACTTTTCGAGGAGTATCTGCGACAAAAAAACTTTGTTTCTTTCCTGAAACTGAGCCAAAAATAGGCCAAAGTTTTGAAGAAAGTCTACGAGGAGATAGGCTTGTTGAGAACTTTAAAATATTTTGAATAAATAATAAAACAATTATTGAATTCGGCTTTCGCGTGATGTGAAGAATTATGCAGATCTCGGAGGATGTTATTTTACATCCTAGTCAGTCTCATTCAATATTAGCTAAATATATCTAATTACATTATTACAAGTAACTTATTCACATTAAAGTACGTAGATATATCTAAAAATCATCACTAAATCCAGCTAAGCTCCATTTCTCTTTTACATTCTTCTTGAAGAGTGAATTGAGCGCGAGTTCCTAGTAGCAACAGAAAGGTTATTCCAGGTTTTAAGTGCTCGATAACAGAAGCCACGTTGTGTTGCTGTAGGTTGATAAAAGGGAGGAGTGAAGTGACGACACATGTTCATTAAGACTCAAGTTTGAGTCAAGTATGACTCCTAGGTCCTTGGCAGGTGACACAGGTGTTAGCTCTTGGCCAAGGCATTTTGGACAGGATTTTTCTCACTCCAAATAGCAACAACTTTGTCTTGTCTGGGTTAACCAGTAGGTGATTTGCACAGCACCACTCAGCAACGTGATGGAGATCTTCAGTAACTAGGCGTAAACATGAATCCAAATCCTTTGTCGAGAACATCTACAAAGGATTCAATGTTACTTGACTTGATGGCTTCTGGAAGATCATTCATCTAGAAGGCGAAGAGCATGAGACCTAAAATTGAGCCCCGTGGTACGCGGTGGGTTAATGTTAAGGGTTCTGACAACGATGTCGCAATGCCCGTGCATTGTTGTCTGTTAGTGAGGTAATTTTGGAACAATAGAAGAGCCTTGTTCAAAGTTCCCAATCTGGTGAGTTTATTAAGCAAGCTCAAATGACACAAGCTATCAAAGGCTTTAAGTAAGTCGATCAGCACCATTGCTGTAATATGTTTCCTATCCATGGCCTGGAGTGTATGATCAGTTACCATGAGACTGAATGTCTCCGTTGAGTGGAATTCTCGGTTCCCACTTTTGTGAAAAGTGAGGCGATTTGTCTCTTACAGACATTTTCTAAATTGACAAAACGGGATTTTCTCGGCAACCTTGGAGAGGACTTGTAGTAAGGAAATAAGCCTGTTTTTATGATGTTGGTAATGTGCCGAGGGCAATCTTTTACCACTGACATTAGCACCTTTTCAAAACCAGGGGCCTTATTAGGGGGTGTGGCCATGATCTCCTTCCGTACGGGCTGGAACTCAAATTGATAAATCATCGGCATGAGGCACATTAGGGGTAATAAAGAAGGGGCGGATATCCAGGCCATATGATCTTGCAAGTCCTTCAGTTTCTTTGCCACGTTTTCACCCAAAGAAATGAAAAAAACAAAAAAAAAACCGATTGAACTCGTTCGCTAGTGTACTGGTGTCATAAGTGTATTGGTGAAATTGAGTAGGATTGGTAGGAATCGTGCGCCGTATTATTTTGCATATGCAGCCACTATTCCCTTAAATTGTTAGCTGTCAGCTGTTCGTTAAAGAGAGTCTCGCTCCTCTTGTCCAATGAAATGCTCTATTACGTGCCTCAGACAGACGAGTGCTTCCCAGTCCACTCCAGATCTGCTTTTCCAAGCCTTCTTGTGGAGCCGGTTCCTTGATTTTATGAGTTCTCCTAACTTCTGTAGTGATGGCTAGACTTGATTTGCGCCTCAATTTCACCGTTTTTATTGGCGCATGACCATTTAAACATGCGAGGAACCAAATCATCTCGGGAAAACGGACACCTAGGATGGGTCCCTTTCCTCCTTCTCTTCCTTTATCTGACTCTCTCTTTAGCATCTCTCTATTAAGAAGGACACTATTGCCGGTCCCAATCTCAGCAGTGGTGTCCGTCTTAGAGAGAGTTGACCATATTTGTCAGTGTCCAACAAAACTGTGCCTTAGGCACTTCCAGTTTGGTCAATTCCATGTAATAACGTAACATAAAAGTTTTCCTAATCTAGTTATTTATGACAAGATCTAAAGACGAGAGGTTCACTGAATTGCTTAAAACCCAATTTATAATATGTAATAACAAGTCGTCCAAGACGCGGACCATCTATGGCACCTAATAAAATCAATAAATCGGTCAAAACGCATCTATAAAAATAATAAAAACATAGATAATCAAATATACATACACATAGACACCGTCTATCTATAATCACCAAACTGGATAAATGGATACAGATTAATCACATGCAGCACAAAGCAACTTGACCGCAAATAACTGAGCGGAATTAATTATTTGAACTAGATCTAAATTATGGGCTCTGGCCATATAAAAATGCAGTTGTAATACCAGTAGCGGTTGACCAACGGTGGCATTCGACTATGCTACAAATTTGGTAAAATGTAATCAAAGCCAGTAGAGTAGATACTCACTTCCAAGATCACAATAACCTGCTGCTACATACAGACGCACTCCAAGCTCCTTCCTTAAATCAACTGCTTCTTGGATTAGCTTGAGTCCTTTTCTTAATTCGCCCTAAAACAAACAAAAAATAATTTGAAAATACAAACCTGAATATTTTGGAGCTACGGAAATTTAGCCTGAGAAAACAGCCGACATTTGGGGGGCGCTACCAATGGTTTCGTCGCCAATGACGTCTGAGAAACGAGCGCAGAAATTCCATACTGATGAAGCGCCACTACCCAGATCTGGGTAGTACTTCTGATTGGTTGAATCAATTTTCCCACGCGACACGACCAATCAGAAGCACTACCCAGATCTGGGTAGTGACGCCATCATGAGTATGGAATTTCTGCGCTCGTTTCTCAGACGTCATTTGGCGGGGAAACCAGTGGTGTCGCCGCCAAATGTCGGCTGTTATCTCAGGCTCACGAAAATTGCTTAGAAAACTAGTCAACTAATAATTATAATAATGATATGATAATAACAATAATACATAATACAGAAAATCAATGCAAATTTATAACTACAAGAATAAAAATATACGAAATATCTTAAAGGATCTAAGAAAAAGCTCTTTTGTTCGCAGCTTAGTGCCGCAATAAAAGGGACATGGTCAGCAGGTGTCGTTTTAGTTATAACACTCGGTACCTGTGGGAGGAGTCCATTATTTAACCTCCCAGCGACAAATGCATGCGATGTAGACTCGCATCCAGAGAGTGGCAACTAAGTCGCTTTTAAAAATCCCAAAAGTCTTTCAAAAGTCTTGGTCGTGTAATGACCCAGTATTCCAATCGGATACTTACTTACTTTATTTTATGCTACAGTGTACGCCATTATGATCATAGCCTGTTTTTCTCTTCGGGTGTTTAGTGATAACTTTTGATCATTAACAAGTTACTCCTTCCACTCCCTGTTCAGGCAGCATCGATAACTGATTTTTGTTTAAAAACTACAAGACATCCGAAAAGTAAGTAGTTTAACTTTTAGGTGCGGAAACTTCAAAGACACCCTTTCGAGGCAGAACCCCTGTGTGCGAAAATAGAAAAGGAAAATTTTTGGCGACATTGTTCCATTGGCATTAAAATAGCCTTTCCCTTCTCTTATACGTTATGTTATGGAAGTAATAAAATTGAGAACGCTTAATTCTATTTGTAGTTTTACCTGAAGAGCGTAACACAGCCCAAGTTTGGAAATGGTGTGTGCATGAGTCTCACAATACTGTAAGTCTTTTGGCAAATTCTTCCGGATTTCATAGGCCCGCTGAAACATCTCAACAGTATCGTGGCTAACCCCTCGGTGAGCTTCTTTACAGAGACGAAGAAATCCGAGAGCAGTTAGACTATCTGCAAGTCTTCTCGTGTCGTTAGATGCTTCGGCAATGTGGCAGCACCTTTCATACAGTTCTACACACTCAGAGGGCGGAGATAAAACTTTGGCCAAGAAATCCAAAACCTTGGTGGAGTTAGCGACATCTATGCACGACTCTGCTTCTTTCTTGTCGCCTCCTTTCTGCAGGAAATTTTTGAACATCTCCAGGATGTTTGCCTTTTCTGTCCTAAAGGTAAAAATAGCATTTTGCGACCACTTTTTGTTGATAAATTGTTTGCTTGAGGTTTCGAGGAGCTCAAGGTAATGTTGATTAAACTTGTGCTGGGCTTTTTCACCTACAACATCCATGTTGAGAAGTTTCCTCTCAGCTTTGAGGAACTCGCGGACCAAAGGGTGCAAAACTAACTTTTCTTTGTCAATTCTACGAAGTAGAGAACGCCTAATCATGGTATTCTTAACAGCCTCTGGATCTAATACGTCACCGAAGAGAGCCTTCATGTCTTTAATGGAAAATGCAGATGGAAAAACTGCAAGGCGAACAAGGTTTGCCTTTATGTTTCCTGAAATATTGACCAAGAATTGTCTCAAAGCATTGTAAACGTCCTCTGCATTAGTCTTAAGAAGTGGAATGGGATTTTCTTTCAGCCGTGCGACCATCTCTTCCGGGCTGAAGTCTTCTTCTAGTAAGCCTGCACAGTTGACAAGAACCAGCGGTATCCCACCACAGAGGTTACCGAGTTCCTTGATATGCCGCTCCTCACAGTTTGGGACTAAGTCCTGAAGTAATTCGGCAGACGACTCAGACCCCAGACGATCCAGACGAATTCTGCATATGTTGAATGAACGAAAACCCACATCCTCTCGAGTAGTGATGATCAGCTGAACATTAGATGCGCATGTTTCTACATACCTTAAAAAGTCGTCAAATTCCTTTCCTTGTTGTTGTATACCTTCTACGCTGTCTAACACAATAACCTTCTTCTCTCTAAGCTCTTTAAGTCGCCTCTTTGCTATCATTACCATATCCTGACTCTCTGAAAGTGTCGGAGCCAGAGGGTTAATTTGACGGAGGATTTCGCTGCAGATTTCTGTAAACTTTTGTTTTCCTTCAATGAATATAACAGCCTTTTTATGTTGTTCTTTGAGTAAGTGACTGACGTGAATGGCAACTTGAGTCTTACCCATCCCAGGAATACCAACAATGATGATGATGCGTGAAGGATCTGGGTCCTGGGTAAGTTTTTGAACAATTTCTTGCACCACTAATTCTCTACCTTTAAAATGTGCTCCCTTATAAGGAAGTGTAGGGTCGGCAGTTGCAGTTAATTGTCCTAGCGAAAAAGAAAAAACTATATATTTCAGTTTTTTTCAAAAGAGCTTACAGCTCGTTGATACAAATCACTTATAACGCAGCCCCGATGCCAGAAAAGTTATCCCTTTCCGTTGTTCGGTAGTTTATTTGTATCAATGCACAAGAGGTATTGTAACTGTATATGGCCGAAAGCAGACTGCAGAACGCACTTTGCAGAATGTATGTTAAATGACACCAAGATCTTATTGAAAGTGACGCCACCAACAACATTGTCTCCTTTCCAGACGGCCTCTAGCATAGCGAGAAAGTAGCCTTGAAGGGTACCCAAGTTGACAGGTCAAAGGGCGTCGATGCTGCTAGAATTGGTCGTGAAAGAGCCTTCATATTGCAGGAGTATGACATGCTGCTAGCAGCAGCGACATCCGGATAGTGGCTGCGGCGTCGACCATCTTCTGACAGTAAAGGCAGAAGCCAAAACTGCTAGTTACAACATCCGAGCAACTTAAGAAGCTGGAAAAGAAGCACAAGTGGCAGCAAAGATGAACACTTCTTCAAGATAGCACTGCTTGGGCTTTGTCACACCAGATGGATTAGATACTCATGCAGGTATCGAAAAGGAAGATGCTTCCCACAGCCTTTAAATGCTTAAAAAGGGGTGATATGGAGCGCACATCAGTTGAGAACTTCAGAAACTGGCGGTCAAGTTTATAACGAAATGAAAAACTTCCGCATCAATGCGGTGCAGCGCCTTATCCCACGAATGACGTTGGATGAGGGGAGGGGGTGGGGGCGAAGAACGGGGAGTTTTGAAACAGACTCCACAGTGGAGCTCAAGTTCTTAGTGGAAGTTTTCAACATAGAGGAAGGTGACGACAGCAATGGATACGAGCGACATAATCTGGGACAACATGGCCTGGAAAAAATGAACGAGAACCGGCGAGGTCATCGGTTGAAGAAAATCTTAATTAACTACATCCACAAAGCCACCTGGCAGAGTCCCTACCACGTCATGGAAAACCACACTGATCACATGTGTATCAGCAGAAGATCAGGTGATCCCTAGAGGATGTGAGATTGTAGTATGGATGTATATTCTGCCTGCTTCCTGGAGTCACAACACTTCAGCTCCAGCTAAAGTCATATGTGGCACAAATAAACCCAACAGCTTACTACAACGCGGACCAGGAAAAGGAGTTACAGCAGACGGGTATTAGCTTTTAAAACCTGTCCAACGGGTTCCAATCCTTACAACAACTGTGAGGAAAGTGGCAAAGATATAGAAGCAAAGTCGTGAGAGCGTCCCAAAAAGATTAGGACCCCCTCCTGCATAGAGACTGAATGCAAGAAGAGTACACATAGGCTAGACAGAATAACTTGCCGGATGGGAGCAACCTGTCCACTTGCTCAAGGCACCCTTCAAGATGGGCTATCTACATGGCATGTAAAGCGCTTGGTCAAAGCTCGGCTTCCAGCTAGCCGGGCGGAAAACCGGCTTAACCGCCAAAACATGTTTGAGCAAATAACGTCAACAAGAATCTTTGCATTCACTACCAAACAGGTTGTCTGTGAGTCGAAAAAACATCGTCCTTCCGGGGGTCTGACTTACATGTACCGCCCCAAAAAGTATGGTTTTTGGGCCTTGTTGGTCTGAAAACGGGTAAACACTTTGCCTATTTTGGTCTGGAATCGGGTATGGTTTTTGAGGGAACTACGGGTATGAACGTACCGTAAAATTCCGAAAATAAGCCCCGGGGCTTATATTTCTCAAAGACCCTTTTTGAGGGGCTTATTTTTGGAAAGGCTTATCTACGGAGGGAAATTTGCGTTTCAAAATCGATTGGGCTTTATATTTGAGGGCAATTTCCAAGTACAAGCCCCCCGTGGGGCTGATATTTGGAGGGGCGATTCAACGGAGGGTTTATTGCGTTTCCGGTCTGGGGGGCTTATATTTGTAGGGGCTTATTTTCGGAATTTTACGGTATTCATCGTTTCAGTTCCAAATTAATAAGAATGAAAGAGAAATATGCGAATTCGAAAATGGATTTAAGGAATTTTTTTTGTTTGCGCTGTAATCTAAGCAATGATGACAAACTTTCTGTCTAAACGCCAGGTCTGAAAACGGGTATCGATTTTAGAGGTCTGGTCTGAAAACGGGGGTGGAAAATTATATTTTTGGGTCTGAAACAGGGTCAGGATATGGAGTGGCCTGAGAGCAAGCTCTTCGTGTCGCTCTGGCGGCGGAAAAAGGACGGAAAGCTTGAAACTAAGTCTCTTGAATTTGACTATCTGCATCGAAAAAGTCGATGAGAGATGCTGATTGGTGGAGATGACATTAGTAATGACGTCATTACCCTTGGGCACGTGTTTTTCAATGTTTGTTTACACTCGGGCTCGTTTCCGCTTCGTGCTTATTGGCAGAAATCTGACAGCTCAGTCAACGACGAGACACGGAAATTGAGGTTAGAATTCAAAGTCCAGAGACGTTGTCGCAAGCTCTCCTTCCTTTTCCCGCCTGGCCGCCAGAGGGCATCGGAGAGCTTGCTCCCAGGCTAGATATGGAGAACCGGGCGGCACACCCCCAACTAAGAATTCACAGGAAATCCCCCCAAGCTAAAATTTTACCAGTAAGCCGCTTTTATCTGAGCCATCTTGGTTGTTTGCTCTTAGCGACCTCTTAGGAGGTACAAATTAGCAAAGGGCCATTAATAGAAATTCTGGTGTTGTACGATTAGATCTAATCACCAACAAAAACGCAACGAGCCTAGACCCCTGGTATGTTGCATCCAATTCAGGGATGTGGATCACGCATCTTTCGGGAGACTGTCGATCGATGTATCGGCCGGCATCTGGTCGACTATCGATCGATATATTGGCCGCTATGTAGATCGATACCTGGTGTCGACTCTCCACCGAGATGTCCGTCGAGAGTCGACCGAGTATCGACCGATATATCGGCCAAATGATGTTTTACTGTTGGTCGAGCATCGGCCAACAAATCGACCTACAGTCGGCCGCGATAGCATCGGTCCCTCTTTGGTGCGTTTATTGGTCATGGTGCTCGCAGAGTTGGGGACTTTGGGATCAGTGTTTGAATTGAGCGTGCAGTGATCAAGTATTCTAACCGAAACAACATGGCGAGGGTTACAATAGAACAAGTATTACAACATAAACTAAGATAAAGGAACCTCAACATTCAAGTCATTTCATAACCACATCACCCCCAGCGACAAAAGTCGTTAATAATAAAACGAAATAATAATATACTCGTCTTACCCATCTCTATGACTTTCTCAGCAAGCTGAACGAGACCTACTCTTTTCAGCAGAGTTACCAAATACATCACTTCTCCAGCTTTGATTTTACCGCTTTTTTTGAGGACGTTTAAAAGCTCTCTTGGGTTCGCGATTGGCTCAAGTTTTCCTCTCGGTAAATCGTCATCTTCTTGGCATAAAAATTTCATGTCGGCCAATTCGTCGCTTTTTATTTCACTGGCTATTTGGAGCAAGAAGTAATTGAAATCTGCCATCAAGTACCCACTTGTTGCAGCAGCAGACGCCATACTCGGCGATTCAAGAGATGCTGAAAGAGCACATGAACCGAGAGGCGTTTCTAAATATTAAACTCAATAAATAAATATCATTTATTCCATTTTCCTGTAAGAGGTATACTGAACTAACAAGTGGTAGCTACAATAACAACAATAGTAAGAGAATGGCAACGTTCAGAAAGAGGTAAAGAAAGAAACTTGTTACACCCGTAAATAAACCCAACAATCGCAAAGCGCACAATATGAAGCATTCACTTTGGGAAGCAAATGATATCATAGATATTAGACTTAGCCAGGCTAATGACAGCCTTGATATGGACAAATGTAGGGCCAAGGGACTGGCAAAATATGTTTGCTGCATGCATGCTGAAAATAGTCTCAGTTGAAAAGCAGGAGCAGCTTTCGCTTCAGATACAAGAACGATTACGAAATAATGAAATATCAACATAAAAAATCATATATTAAGCCCCGTGAAAACGGATGCAACATGTGTTGGCCTTGCCTATGGCGTACAGGGACTAGTAAGAGTTGGACAACAACTCACAACATAAAATGTGAGCTGCGGAAATACCAATTTTTTAATGAAGATATAGATGTTACATTGTTGGATGTTACAGAACGAAGAATATGTTAAAGAACGAAGAATATGCATACCCAGCATATAAATTCCACTTGGTCTCCACCTCACTGATTTTACTGAAGATTGACGAGAACTGCAGCAGAGGCTTTTTAAAATGCAGTGGTCAGGTATACTTAGTACCGCAGAGAAGTATAGGCAAGGGTTACGGTAGAACAAGTGTTACAACTCATCCGAATTCTGAGAGGAAGTCTGATTCTATAACCACCCCGGGCAGGTCATTGCTATGGGAGTTCGATATAGAGAGAACGTATAAGGGTCATTTTGAATAGCGACTGCACCGGAATCACAGAATTTAAGGGTTCCTGAATCTCGTACAATTCTGATTTCTTCCCGGCTTTCTTTTCGCAACTGCAACAGTTGCTTCTATAACCGCGACATTTTCTTTTACTTTTTAGATCAGTAGTCTCACGTGTGACTTTGTTCATCTCTGGTCCCAAAATACTTACTGACGATTACACGAGGACACCGGGAAAATTCTCTGCAAAAGAGGAATTAGCTAATCCTGGTTTCCTCATGTTCATTTAGATCGCCCAAAGAAGGTAGGCGATCGCAGTCAGAAACTCTTCAATTAAAGCAGCGTGATCTCTGCGATGGCTGAGTTTTGACTTCAGTTCTGATTTGACTTAATCTAAGTGTGTAAAGGGCCGGTTTGAATATAAACAGAAGACAAAATATTACCCATGAAAAGTACAACTTAATATTAGCTTACGCCTCGTTGCTGTTTTCCCTTTCTGCTGTTGTTTTGCCGTCTCCCTACAATTTTCTTCATCGAGAGTGAAATATAAGAAACTATTCCGCTCCATTTCCCGGGATGTTTTTGACTTTTGTACGAAGAAGCAAGGGCGTTACAAGCTGCAAAGTGCGCCTGCGAAAGGCGGTATTTTGACGCAAAACTCACACAACCATGTGGCTTTTGACTGCTTTCAGTGAACGTACCATTTGTCTCACACATGAAGAGACATCGTTAGCGATTCTGATCTGACTAGAACTCATCTACGTATGAAAATTTACAACATAGCTTTACTGTCCCGTCTTAAGTGATAGGTCTACGGCTGCCTTCGCTGCTTCCTTTTAAACTGTCTTACCCATTTCATCGGTTACTTCAGCTACCGCTTCTGAACCCTCTTTTGCCATGTGTTTGTACTTTATTTGTGCCTGCAATTGTAACGTCAAAAACGAAGGCTGAAAGCGGAATTTAAGTAATGCCTCATGTAGGTGGGAGTTATGCCACATATACGCAAGGCACAACCAATCAATGATTAATGAAATTCATAAGTAGTTAAAATTGAACACTGCTAACATTCAAAGTGTCATCAATAATTGAAAACTGTCAAACGCTTGAACCCAGGATTCATTTCACAAGTAGATGGAGAATAACCGTCCGAGTATCCCCTGGGTGAGCATAGTCCTGAATAAGGCTGTTGTTGACATTGACTGGCGTTTCCACAACCAGTGCAGTTGCCGTCTTCCGAGTCAAAATGTTGACTCTGAAGTTAAGTAAGGCCCGCACAGGCGTAGGGGAGCCTTAACCCAATCCCACCCTTCCCCCAACACACTTTGTGAACGAAATGAAAAATTGTACATGCAGGTGGAAAAATGCAGTAATTACTGTAAGTGTGCTTCCAGAATTTGCTCAGTGATTTCTTGCAAGGCCATTTCTCTTTAGCCTGTTAACAAAGGCTAGGTTACTTTTCTCTCCATATAAACTTAGGTACGCAATATGAGTAGCCTCTTCTCGCAGGGTAAGTGATTGGATAATACGGACCTCGAGGAAAAAATGAAATTTAATTAGGTCTGTTCTGACCTCAGGACTGAAGGAGTTTATAGACCTTTGAAAAGAGAAAGAAAAGTGAGAAGCCGGAGCAACAAAAAGTATTGTATTTTTCTTTTCCCTTTTTTTCAGTTCAATATCGACAAACATAATGATCAAGTTATCTGTACCATGATGCATGATAAGGTAGATATTATAAAGGGAAGCCAGTAAGGTTTAGCTGCTAACATCCTACAAAATCCCGCGTGCAATCCAAAATTCACATAGAGGCGCTTGAATTGATCAAGAAATAGGCTAAGAACAAGGAATTGGCATGCTGGGAAGCCGAAAAAGGGCGACGAGTATTTTAGGATGTTTCTCGAAAAATGAAAAAAAAAAAAAACACTGCCTTCATCTTTTCCTTAATAATATCAATTTTTTCTTCGCTAGAACAATCTGTCAACCGTTACATTATTACACCTGACTCCTAAAAATGCTAGATCCATTTAAACAGGCACGCCAACACCGATTCAAATTAGCAGCTCTGTCATTAGTTTGTTCATGAGAACAATAAAGCATTTCTCAGAAAATGATGTCCTGTATGCGTTATGTAGTACTTTGCAGCAGTGGTTGTAGTGGTTTGATTTTATGTTTTCTAAGCATGTTGCGTCTCTTGTTATCTGAATTTTAGCAAGCTTAAAACTACCAGTAAACGTTTTACCAGGAGCCTGAGATGGGCTTCTGACGTTACCAAGAATTTTTTTTAATCTTATGCTGTCACATCTGACGAAACACTTCGGTAAAACTGATAAAGTTGAACTGGGTACCCTCTCTCCCTGTAAACAGGCCCCAGAGCAAACCACTGTGTTATTAAAAATACATTTTATACTGAAAGTTGAAATAAAATATTGTATGTTTGTAATAGATCTATACATTATAGATCAATCTGATCAACAGATTGTATAATTTACATTGATGTTAACTTCGCTGAAATAAGTCAGACTAGTCAAGTATAAAAAAGTCATGTTTTTAGTGTTTACTACGATTGAAATCTTCACAAACGTGAAATTAAAAGCGGGGGCAACTAACGTAAACACTATTTCTGGTTTATTTAACGGCCTGGGCTGATTGAGTGACCTTTGGTTTGTTTGTGACGGAACTGTTCGGTTCTGATATAAAGGCCCGGTTCAAACGTCGAACTTTTCATGCGCCGAACTTAATTATCAGATTCGGCTATGAAAAGTTAAACGTATGAATCAATTAGGTTCGTCGACAGATTTGTATTTGGGTCGACCCGCCAGTCGAATGGAACGGCAAAAGTTGGACATCAATTCAGACGTCGAACCTCCTCACGTGCCGAATCTAATTTGCATACATATTTTTCCAATCTCTCAACAGCCTTTATGATTGGCTGTATAGTGAGTTGTGACACGTGAAGAGAACTCACAGAAGCTTGATGACCGTTCCGTTCTCGAATGTTGGAACTGGACCCCCCGCTCAAAACGGTCGACTAACACTATCTATATATTCATTCCTTACTTGTACCTCAATATGATCGCGATTTCCTTGAACATAAACGGAACACAGCAGAAAAAGCTACTCCGACTTGGTGTCTATAAATGCTCAAACCCCGGGGCTAAAACAAACTATTGAAACGAAATGGAATGAAAATAAATCGTTTATCAGTTCATTTCCATATTTTCAAGCGGTGATAATAGAACTTGTTTACTCCAAAAGTTAGGTTCGGCACATGTTAAGGTTCGACGTCTGAATCAACCGTCGAACTTAATCATTTCGGTCGACCCAAATAGGTATTACGTTCGACACATGAAAAGTTCGATGTTGAACCAGGCGTAAGACCTTCACGGTATTCTGCCAATACTGAGAAACAGAATTTTCGGAAATTAAGAAAGCGGAAAGGTTTTAATGTTTTAGTCATAGTCTGGATATTATACTCGGTCTGCAGTCTGCAGTGTGCGGTATGCCGTCTGCCTAATAAATAACAACTAGTATATAGCGGAAGTACTGTCTTCTGATTTACGAGAATAACACAGCTCCAAACATTAATTAATTAAACACATACTTTTCGACTTGATTCACGTAAATTATAATGTGTAATTGTTGTACGAATACATCTATTTAGCAAAGTTTTCAAAAATGAACCTACATAGGATGCTGTCTGAGCTATGACAACTACGCCGATGCTGTAAAGTTCAATGTCCCTCGAACCGTTCTAATAAGGGATTAAGCTCGAGAGAACCAATGCATTTCTTAGCGAAACTGTGATATGACTTACCTCGTAAAATTCAATTTCCACCTAGAGCTAGAGTTCTAATCCGTTGAGCAGCTAACGAGGAATTGAGGGACTTCAGCACCAGCAGGAAATCGATAATTTATATCACAGGTAGCCCAAGCTCGAAATATGAGGATCGGCGAGCAGCGGCATTGTTGCGTAACATTCAAAATATAAGGATTTGTATGGGGAAAAAACCTATCGTTTCTTGTAACCTACGAAAATGAAATGATTTCAATAAAAAACAGCTTACCTTACTTAAAATGTGTGTTACGTCTCTCCTGTGTGGTCCACGGGCCGATTTATGGCCGTTTTATGGGTTTTTATGT